GTTTGGGCTGCGTTGTGCTCGTTTTTCTTATGCTTTGACGTCGTTTCTTCAAGCATAAATGATATCATATTGAACAAATGAGCTCCGATTACTGTTTTGAATGAAGCATTAGATCCGTATCGTAATTACGGACCCGTATCAAAAAGAATCGTCGAATTTGGACATCATATGAGGATTTTATGGCCATTTTACCAAGGTTGCCCAGATTTTCAGGTTAATGACGAAATTGCCCCTGACGGCGTATTAAAAACCTGCACTATTTGCAAATCTTAAAACCTACATATCTCCTTCATTATAAGGTCAAATTGAGTGATTCAAAAGCCTAAATTCATTAGAATTTCACAAGGAATCCATTGGGAGCAGTAAACGCGTGAACAATATACCTATAATGAGCAGGTCGAGTTTTCTTCCAATTTTTGAACGAGAAGAAGCTTCTGAGGCGATTTTTAAGAGAGAAAATCAGTGGGTATCACAGAGGTAAGTGATTTGATTATTAAAACTCGTTTATGGGTGATTATAGACCATAATCCCAGCCTTTAATTCATGAAAAACAGTAGAAAAATAGGATTTTGGGGCCTGAGATTATGAGACCTTTAGGGGTCGATTTGAGGGGTCAAACGGGCTCCGATTTTGGTGTTCTTTATATGTACGAAATCGGGAGAAGATGAAGAACACTTTTCTGTAAAAATTTCTGAGTTTCGAGAAGTGGGCCCGGGGCTCGGGTTTGATGTTTTTCGATTATTTTCGATTGGGTATTGATGCTATAGCATAATGTGACGTATTCATTGTGGTATTGGTCAGATTCGACGCGCGAGAAGGTCGATTTGAGAGGCAAGGGCTTAGCTAGCTAGGATTTTGGTCGGCTTGAGGTTAATAATAGATGTAAATGTTGTGTTGAGGGTTTGAAACCCCGAATTTGCACATTGTAGTGCTATGTTGAGGTGACTTGCACGCCGGATAACGGGCGTGGGGTAGAGCACCGTCGGGGATCATGACTTGGTCCGTCCCGCTTAATAAAATTACTACCTAATTGATTGAAGCTTAGTGAGATCCTTATAAAAATGGATTAATTGTCATAATTTGGCCTCGTGCCAACTGATTGAATCCTTCAGGGATTGTTTTTACTGGTTTCTTACCATATTTTCAGACAATTGAACTCAGTCCTAGTATTTAGTACTGTTTTGCCAACTCAGCGACTTTTTCTCAAAACTTGAAACTTAAATATATTTCTAAATGAAGTTTGGGCTGAATATTTCTATATTATTGTGCCCGAGGGGCTTATATGATTCTGGACTGAGTATGGCTGCGCGACGCAGCGGTATGAATTTGGATATTGATATGAGGCCGAGGGCCTAGTTGACTGCCACGATATGCGTTATATCGAGCTGGCCGTAAGGGGCCCCTCCCGGAGTCTGTACACCCCCAGTGAGCGCCGTCGACGATAAATAAATGGAGCGGGCTGCACGCCGCAGCGGGTACTGGAGAGTACCGGTCTATGTGTTGCATTGCATATTTTGATTGTCATTTACTTACTTATCTGTTGTGATATTTCTATAATTATTTTCACTGATTTATTGATTTTATGCTACTGGATTCAAGTTGCTGTTTTCATAGAATTACTTTGTGCCTATTCAGGATTCCTTATTCTCAGCCTTTATTTATGTTTATTACTCACTGGGTCGGAGTACTCACATTACTCCCTGCACCTTGTGTGTAGATCTATGTGCACCCACTGAGGCTGAGTGAGGATTTCTCTGCCGAGCATCATATCTGGGAGCATCAAGGTAGCTGCATGACGTCCGCAGTCCTGATCTTCCCATCTAACCTATTTGCTTTATTTCCGCATTTCTTTAGAGCAATATGTAGTAGGTTGACATCGGTGTATTAGAGGCTCAGACTTGTGACACCGGATTCTTCGGGTCGTGTAGTAGTATTTCTACTTGGGTTTTTCGCATGTTTTAATTATATTTCAGAGTTTAAGTATTATGACTTAATAATTATTTGTGTTAATTGAATCATGAACTGTATAAAAAGAGTTAAGGTTGTTGAATTGGTCGGGCTTGCCTAGCAGTGTGTTGGGCGCCATCACGCCCGGGGTTGGGGTCGTGACAGGAGGCAAAGTTAACGATTACTGCGGCTAAGACTACAGCATTTGGTCTTTTACATGAAGAACTAGGGGACAAAGGCGGGGACAAGAAGCTGCATATGCTGGCCAAGGTGAGAGAAATGAAGGCCCATGATGTGGACCAAGTGAGGTACATAAAAGACGATGAGGGTAGAATTTTGTTGGAGGAGGCACGAATTAGCCGAAGATAGCAATCAGGCTTCTATAAACTCTTAATTAAAAAGGGGGATACGAGCATTGTGTTGGGAGATTTGGAGCACTCTGAGTGGTATTGTTATTTTGGGTACTGTAGGCGCATAAGAGTCGGGTAAGGCAGGCTTGGAATGACTCTCTAGGTTTTTTAATGTCATTTTTAGGACGAATAATATGTCTAAAGAGTGGAGGTGGAACACGATGATTCCGATGTAGAAGAACATGAGGGATATCCAAAACTGCAACAGCTATATGGGTATCAAGTTGCTAAATCGTACAATGAAAATTTGGGAAAGGGTGATAGAAGGAAGGATGAGGAGGAGTGTGTCTACTTTCGAGAACTAGTATGGTTTCATGTCGGGACGGTCGACTACAGAAGCCATTCACATTTTGAGGGGATTGGTGAAGTACTATAGGGCGATGAAGAATGACTTACATATGATGTTCATTCACCTAGATAAACTTACGACAAAGTCCCAATAGAGGTTATATGTAGATGCTTGGAGGCTAAATGAGTGCGTGTATCTTACATTAGAGTGAACGATGACATGTATGATGGAGCTAAGACACAGGTAAAGACAGCGGGACGAGACTTAGAATACTTCCCGACTGAGATGGGGTTGTATCAGGGATCAACACTTAGCCCATTTTTATTTCCCTTGGCAATGGACACATTGACGCAACACATTCAATGAGAGGTGACATAGTGTATTTTATTTGTAAATGACATAGTTTTGATTGATGAGGCGCGAGGTTGTGTTAATGAGAGGTTGAAGGTTTGGAGACATACCCTCGGTTCTAAATATTTTAAGTTGAGCAAGATCAAGACAAAATACTTGGAGTGCAAGTTTAACGATATTACCTAAGAAGCGGACATGAATGTGAGGCTTGATACATGAGTCATTCCCATGAGATAGAGTTTTAAGTATTTTGGATCTGTAATTCAGGGAGATGGGAAGATTGATGAGAATGTCACACATCATACCGGAGCATGGTAGATGAAGTGGAGGTTCACTTCTGGTGTTTTGTGCGATAAGAATATGCCTTTGAAACTTAAAGGTAAAATCTACAAAGTAATGGTTAGACTAACAATGTTGTATGGGGCAGAGTTTTGGCCATTCAAAAACTCTCGTGTCCGGAAAATAAAAGTAACTGAAATGTGGATGTTGAGATGGATGTATGGGCACACTAGATTAGATAAAATTAGGAATGAAGTTATCCGGACAAGGTGGGAGTGGACCCCATGGAGGAGAAGATGCGAGAGGTTAGGCTAAGATGATTCGAACAAGTTAAAAGGAGAAGCACAGATGCTCCAGTCGGGAAGTATGGGAGGTTGGCCTTGACGGGTACGAGAAAATGTAAAGGTAAGCCAAAAAAGTCTTGGGGGAAGGTGATCAGGCGGTACATGACACAACTTGAACTAACCGAGGAATGACCCTTGATAGGAGGGTGTGGAGGTTGAGAAATAGGGTAGAAGGTTAGTAGGTAGTCGAGCGTTTTCCTTTGTCTTCCTTGGCGCATCTTGAGCTAACCGATGGCATGACCCTTGATAGAAGGTGTGGAGGTTGAGAATTAGGGTAGAAGGTTAGTAGGTAGTCGAGTATTTTCATTTGTCTTTCTTAGTTCGATAGTATTAGTGTTAGTATAATATCATTTTATCCTTGGATTGCTATTACTACATACAACCCTTTTGCTATCTTGGTTTCGGTTTTCTTAATATTTTGTATTGTTATTACTTGTTGTCAGTGCTTCTTTCATCTTTTCTTTAGTCGAGTGTCTATCAGAAATAACCTCTCTGTCCTTCCAAGGTAGGGTTAAGGTTGCATACATCCTACCCTCCCCAGACCGCACTTGTGAGAATCCACTAGGTTATTGTTGTTTTTGTTGTGTCTTATCTTTGGCCAAGTGATTTGCTAAGACAACTTCATCCGAAGTGATTTTAGGTATACTCCCTCCCTATTTAACAACACCATAGTCTATCAAGTTGATGGTTATATGCCAGCACATCTACCTCAAAAATAACAATAATAACATACCAGGTGTATTTCCACAGTACGAGGTCTGAGAAGGATAATATGTATGCATACCTTACCCTATAAAAGTAGAGAAATTATTTTCAATAGACTCTCGGCTCAAGAAAAATATTTTCCTCCAAATTAGGATAGAAGAGTACCTTAGATTGTCAGCCATCAACAAAATCGTGTCAAATTGTCCAAATGTTTGATTCCATTGGCCTATTGGGTCATGACATGCCTCTCAAACTATGGCCCATACCATGGCCCAAAAGCCGAAATCAGTTCTCCGCTTTACAATAATTTCCATTTTGGGATGGACTTTCAACCTTAGCCAAAAAAGAGACATTCCAATGAATATCTGCCACGTGTGTCCTCGAGATTCCTAAGGCACTTTGTCTTTAACGGCTGTTAACGAACCTACCCACGCTGACTCCGGAAGGAAACCAATACTCGAAATCAAACCGTCCGTTTATCAAGCGCCAAACATCCAACGGTCAGGAAGTATTTTCGAAACTGTTCAGAGAGCTATCCGGTTAATCACAAGTCTCCAACCAATAAAATCCGAAAACGTGTCAGTCAACTCATGCATGACAGCTACTACATCCACCGGATTACCTGCAACAGCCGGTGACCAACCGCAATCATCTGCCTTTATTCTCTTTGTTCTTGGGTTTCCCCATTTCCCCTTTTAGGAGCTTCTCTTTTTTCAGAAAATTTCTTTTCTTCGTTGTGAGAATCATTACAGTCATTTTGGGTCTTGCTTGAATCGTTTCCGTATTCGGGTCTGGTAATTTTGTTTCAATTTCAATATAATTTTGATGATCCTTAAGTTGGTCTATAAAGATCCCTCTTTTAATTAGGTTCCTAAATTATGCCTTCAAATGGGTTGGTGAAAAATTAACCATTTTTGTGCGTTTTAATTATTTTTGATCGGTTGATTTTTAATTATATTAGGTGGTTAAGAAAGTGGGTTTGTTTCTGCTTATTGTGATCTAGGAAGAGCTCAAACGGGTCTCAAATTGGTCTATAAAACTGAAAGATTAAGACTTTTAATATTGCCAAGAGATTGAATCCTCTTATTTCCTTGGATTTGGGGATAAATTGAATTTTGACGGAGTATTTTAAAGAATCTTTTTTGGCTCTTAAGAGTTGGTTAAGGAAGTAGAGTTGATGATCTTGGGATGCATATGGCTGCGGGCACTGATTTTTCACCACCATTTGGTATATTAGAAGAGGGTTACAGTAGTCAGGAGAATACATCTTCTGCTAAGGATGAATTACGAGAGAGATCAGGCGAGCTAAAGCAGACAATTGGTAAACCACCAAGGCACCTCTCTGTCGGACGACATTCATTAGGCTCTGTTGCATTTGTAGCAGCGACGGATTTGGTAAGTTATTAGTTAATCAAAGCTTTGGTCTTGCAGTCTACTGTTTCATCTCCGAGTTGATTTACTTTATCCTACTTATTATTAATGTTTTTGTTTGCGTACACACTACACTCCCAGACCCTACTTGTGGGACTATACTGGGTTTTGTTGTTGTTGTAATCTAAGTAAAAATTTAGTTAGTGGTTTGTCCGAAGTCCTTTAGTGAAGGCAGTTTATTTTATTGTAAAATCTGTTTATATAGCAATGAATTGTAGTCTGTGTAGGTTCTTCGGAGGAAGATTCCTTCTTTCTGTCCTATTGAGAGGATGATCCCTGACCATCTCTTGTGGTGTTAGATCAGAGAGACGACCACATCTAGTTTGAGGTTGGCGTAACCTAACTTGATGACACTCTTATAGAGTTTTCCAACCTGAAATGTTTTGTAAAGCATCTTTCTTGCTCGGTGATCAGTCAATGAAATCATTCTGGATTTGCACATGTATATTGGAGCATAACCTTGTTGGCATGAGCTTCAATATATGGATATTAACTTGTTAGGTATATAAGTGACCATTCCAGCACTCAAATTCCCCATCCTTTCTTCTCTTCCTTGTGCAGGACTTCACCTTGTTGCTCTATGACAAGCCTTGTTCATCGTCTAGTTTTGCCCCCTATTTGTTTTTTATGGGGGCTCTTCACCTTGTTGCTCTATGACAGGTCTTGTTCATCGTCTAGTATTGCCCCCGTATTTGGTTTTTTTTTCCCCCAGGAGAAGAG